TAAAATATCACACTGTACTCCATAAATATGCACAATTATTATTTGTTAACTAAAATAAATGAATGAATGAAGATATTTCTTTTTCCAGATCTTGGGGATTAGGAAACACCACTGTCCACACTGCTTGGGACAGCTCATGGACTCATAATGACCAAGGGTTTCATTGCTATTAAGTTTTTACTGATTTTATTTCTAAGAAATTAACAAAAAAGAAAATCATTACAGAGCTTTTCTTTAGACTGAATATGATCTAAGAGCAAATGCTGCACTTCAGGAATCTGGCCCTTCCAATTCTAGGTTTAGCCATACTCTCATAAAGCACATAACCCTCTGCAGTTCTTTCTTTTGAGACTTTGGCTCCCATGACTGTAGAATGAAAGGATTGAATTAGACCCATGATGTGCACATAAGACAAGACAAAACACTAGAATGTTCTCGTAAAGGAAAACCTTATTCAAAAGCAGTCTTTTTTTTGTGTGTGTGTGGTACTAGGAATCAAACTCAAGACCATGTGCTCTCCAGGCAGGCACTTGTGCCATTGAGCTATATCCCCAGCCCCTTAAAACCAGTCTTTAAAAACTAAATAATTACAGTTGCTCCAGTTGAGCTAGAAGGTGGGGCTACATATGGGAGTAGGGGACACACTTCCCAAGTCCTGAGTTCACTCCTTTTCCCTACAGCTGCTTACAGTTCTAGTTAAGCCTGGTGACACACTGTGTGCACCACAATCTTTAGGGCCCTCCAGCTCTCACAGAGCACAATTCTGTAGCAATCTGATGCAACCTTGCCAACCCTCCATCCTTTCTTGATTATAGTTTCCATATCGTTAAGTAGAGATTACAATTTCCTCTCTGAGGCTTTTTTCAGCCACTCAATGAGATGATTACAAAGCTCTTTGATATCTTTAGGTAAAAGGTTCCTTTGACTATAATTTGGAGTCATTTTTACTGCAATTACTGAACATTTACTGTGCACCTCGCAGTCCCTGCCCTGCCCTGCTCTGCCCTGCCCTGCCCCACCCTGAGGACCATCAACCCAAATCACACAGATAGGGAATGGCTGCACCAACAGTGAGTGAGTGCTAGGAAAGAGAGACAGCAAGGTGCCTGTTTTGCAGGAGTTGAAGTCTGCCTATTCACGCTATCTTTAAATTTAAGCTCTTCAGAAATAGAGGATTAGCCTTTATGCAGCGCATTCCAACAGAGAAAGCATGATAAATTGCATGAATAATTCAGGAATGCCTGCCCTTCAAGTTCTGTAGCATTTTCAATACAGGACCCTCCCACTCCCATTATGGAAAAAGCCTGGCTCCTTTCTATCTAATAGAGGAAAGCAATGCAGAGAAAACACTGGGTGGTCTGAGGGTTTCTTCATGGGGAGGGTTTGAACATAGTATCAGTGGGTGAGCAATAAACAAATCTCTACAATGAAATACTCTATTTGTGAAATAGGAAATGGCTGTGTCTGAGGACAATTTCCACATCAAGGGAGTGCCGGCACATGCCATGGTAGTTAAGCCCCGCAAAACCGCCAGCCAGGTAAGCCCTGCTTGCCACTGCCTATATACTGCCCATATGCCAAGGGAAATGCCCTTCTGGTCCATGGGTTTTGAAAGTTCACGGATGGGTCTTTGAATCTCAGTTGTGGAAAATGGGAAGACATTTCCTCCTTATTTGTTACAATAGAGGTCAAGAGAGGAGTACTCAATTCCTGATAAGCTAGAAGCTCTGCCACGTTCCTCTGTATTCTCCATCCTACCACTAGGTCCCTGTGGAAGGCATTGCAATCTTGCATCAATTCCCATTCTCATCAGCTCTGCAGAGGATGACAGTCATTATCCAAGAGATAGGCGGTGACCGACTGGCCTTCATGAAAGGTGCGCCAGAGAGGGTGGCCAGCTTTTGCCAACCTGAGACAGGTTAGTGAATAGACTTGAACTGCGTCAGGCAAATCTGTCTTTCTTGTCACATATGTCCCCCCAGTCTGTGGAGCCTCTTGCCTGCTGGTCATCATCAACTGGCTGACTCACTGGCGTTCCAAACTCAATGCCAAAATCAAGCTTATTGTTCCCACTTCCTGTATTTTCCAGTTTCCTATCTTGAGTAAAGCTATCCAAATCCTCCTCTACCTATCCACTCACTTCCAGCCTGGGATTTGCAGCACTAAGTGCTTCTGTCTCTCCCTGCATTTGCTTGGATATGAGCAATGCTCGCCTTCAATTATATTGTTAGTGTACCTTTTACCCCATTAAACAGAAATTCTTAGGGAATGGCTTCAAATTTAATGTCTGCATGGCCGGTGTCTGACACATACGAGACCTGAGTGAAAAGAATTTCATATGCTCTCTCTCCCTTTTCTTTTTTTTTTTTTCAAATGCTTCATTTTTACTTCAGCTTCATTAGCTGCTAAGAACTCAACCTTGTTATGTAGTTGTAATTCTCACTGACTTGTGTGTATAACATTTTGGAAGTGTGGGTTTTTTTTTTTTTTTGGAAAGAAGTTGCGTGGTTGTAAAGAATTTCTTTGTCAGTACTAGTTGAGTAAAGTTTGCATACTAATCCTATGCTATTTTGCATACTAATCCTATGCTATTTTCTAAACAGTGCCAACTAGTTTTGTTAGTGAACTCGAGATTTACACGACACAAGGGTTCCGGGTGATAGCGCTCGCCTACAAGAAGCTGGAAGCTGACCATCACACAGCTGCCCTAACGAGGTAAAAGGAGGGGGTTGAGACAGAGCAGAATGGTTTGTTAAGAGGTACTGGACTGGGATGGGACTCAAGGGCTCTGGGTGGCGAATGCAGCAACATAGCTTGCTCAATTTTTGTGCATGCAGTGTTCTTAAACACTGGTAAAATGCTGTATTAACTGCTTGTCTGTTGCTGCTACAAAATACCCAACACCCACAACCTGGAGGAGGAGAGGTTTGTTTTGACTCATGGGTTCAGTCAGCTGGCTCCAAGTCCAAAACAGGAAGACGGAGGGCCCTGGCAGAGAAAGAGGTGAGCAATACATGACAGCCAGAAAGCAGAGAGAAAGGAGGAGCTGAGGACCAGGATATACCCTTCCAGGTGACACCCACAAGGACCTGCTGGTAACAGCAAGCCAGCTATGATTAATTACAGGACTAACCCACTGACGTCAGCAGTGTCCACATGATCCAGTTACCTTCCACACGTGTGCGAGTTTGCAGGAACAGTTTAGATACAAACCATGGCGCATGCATGTAGTCAGTCATCCCTATTCTGCCCAGAGCACAGAGCTAACACGAGCGCTAATCAGAGAATCATGGGAAATATCCATAGAAAATGTAAAACATAATGTCATTTTACAACTTTGCAATACTCTGGCTTCTCTTCAGATCGTACAAATCTTTTGCCTTTTCTACAACTTTGCAAAAACAGAGAGATGACTATAACCAGGGTTTCAGAATTTGGAATTGTGGTTATGCCCTTCGTTTTTTAAAAAAAAATAATTGATGAGTTTGTTGGAAGTAATGAAACATAACATCCTGAGAAATTTCTCTATAAGAAATATACAGTTTAATGAAACAGATAAATGTAACTTGAACTTACCTAATCTAGGCAGTGTTTACAGGAAAACACAAAAAGCTTCTAAAGATCAGAGTAGGAAAAGTTTTGATAAGCATCTGTTATAGTAGGGATATTATTGATGCTAAAATGGACTGTAGTATTTATGAGTTCATGAGTATTTATGGGTTCAACTTTATCTTTTTATTTTGAAGAGAAGAAAATAAAAATAACAATAAAACAGTTTCAAAACAGGTTAGTAGGATGGTTATAGTAGTGAATACATTGTATATTGTTGTCTTTGTAGTAGTTATTCAATATTAGCAAAAGCTTTCTTTTCAATGAATTAAGACAATCTAGCTGCATAAGTATCTTGTGTATAAATATATATATATATTTTTTTCTTTTTCCCTTTCTTCCTTTCTGCTTTCTCCCATTAAAGTTTGTCTTTTCTTTTGAACCATTTCTTCCAAATTCACAATATCTAGTATAAATTTTGGATCTTATTTACTCATTCAGTTTCTCACACTACTGCAACAATATGATGTTTACAAATATGGGTCTGATTTATTTTACTTACGAGTGTGGTCTTGACTTGCATCCATTTACCTATAGAAGTCTTCAGTTTATCCTTCTTAATGGCGGAGTAGTACTCCATTATATTGAAAAAAACACATCTTGCTTTATTTTTTCCTCAGTTGATGGGCATTTGGGTTGTTTCCAAGATTTAGCTGTTACAAATTGTGCTGCTATAAATATGGGTGGACGTATATCGCTGTGGTATGATGCTTTTAGTTCTTCTAAGAAAATAGCCAGAAGGGGAATAGCTGGGTGGAATGGGATCTCTAATCTTAGTTTTTATTTTATTTTTTTATTTTTTTATTTTTTTTGTTGGATTTTCTCCGGTACTGGGAACCGAACTCACGACCTTGCACTTGCCAGGCAGGCGCTTTTGCCGCTGAGCTAAATCCCCAGCCCCTAATCTTAGTTTTTAAAGGAATCTGCACACTGATTTCCACAGCAGTTGCACCAGTCTACACTCCTACCAACAGTGGGTAAGGGTTCCTTTTCCCTCACAACCCTGCCAGCATTTGTTATTGGCTGATTTCTTGATGATAGCCATTCTTTCTGGGGTGAGATGGAATCTCAATGTTGTTTTAATTTGCATTTCTCAAATGACCAATGATGTTGATTTTTTTTTTATACATTTATATGCCATTTGTATTTCTTTATCTGAGGAGTGTGTATTCATCTCAGATGTCTATTTTTGGATTGGGTCTTTGAATTTTGGGGATTCTGATTTTTTTTCAATACCTTATATATTCTAGATAGAAGTTCTTTGTCTGAGAGACAGTTGGCTAAAAATTTTTCCCATTCTGTGAGTTGTCTCTACTCTGTTGGTGATTTTTTTGCTATGCAAAAGCTTTACAATAATGTGAGATCCCATCTGTTATTCTTTGTAATATTTCCCTGCAGTCAGTTTTATTCATGGAGTCTCTGCCTACACCTGTATCTTTGAGATTTGTACCTATTTTCTCTTCCAGTAAATTTAGTGCTTCTATTTTAATATTTAGATTTTGATCTATTTTGACTTTAGTTCAGTGCATGATGATAGACATGGGTCTAGTTTTAGTCCTGAGCATGTGGAAAGCTAGTTTTTCCAGCACCATTTATTGAAGAGACTATCTTTTTTTCCAGGGAACCTATTTGGCTCCCTTGTCAGAGATAAGGTGGTTGAGTGTGTTTGGAGTTTTGTCTGTATCTTCTATTCCATTCCATTGATCCTCAGGCCTGTTTTTTTTTTTTTTTTTTTTTTGCCAATACCATACTGATTTTCTCTCAGTAGCTTTGTAGTATAATTTCAAGTCTGGAATTGTGATGCCCCCTCACTTGTCTTTGTTACCCAGAATTGCTTTTGCTATTCCAGGTCTCTTCTGGTTCCAACAGAATTTTAGGAGTGTTTTTTCTAGATCTGTTAGGTGTACTAATGATATTTTGATTGAGAATGAATTAAATCTGTATAGCAGTTTTTGGAGCACAGCCATTTTCACTATATTGTTTCTTCCTACCCAAGAGCAAGGGATATCTTTCTACTTTCTGATACCCTCTTCAATCTCCTTTGTTAGGGTACTGTAATTTTCACTGTACAGGTATTTTACATCCTTTGTTAGATTGATTCCTGAGTATTTCATTTTTTTTAGATGGTATTGTGAAGGGTTAGCTTTAAATTTCTCTTTCCATGAGTTTATTGCTTGTGTACAAGAACAATATTGATTTTTGAGTGTTGACTTTGTAGCCCACTACATGACTGAATTTGGTTATTAAATCTACAGGCTGTTTGGTGGAGTTTTCAGGGTCTTCTATGTAGAGTATCATGTCACCTGCAAATAATGATAATTTAACTTCTTCTTTTCCTATCTTTATTTCTTTTATTTTTCTCTTGTCTAATTGCTCTGGCTAATGTTTCCAGAAACATATTGAATAGCAGTGGTGATAATGGGCAGCCTTGTCTTGTTCCTGATTTTAGAGTGAATGATTTGCCTATGTAGTATAATGCTAGCTATTAGTTCATCACAGATGGTTTTTATAAGATTGAGGTAAAGACCATGTATTCCAATTTTCTATAGAGTTTTTATCATGAATGGATGTTGAACTTTGTCAGATGCTTTTTCTGCAGCTATTGAGATGATCATATGATTTTTGTCTTTGGTTCTGTTAGTATGGCATATTATGCTTCTTGATTTGCATATGTTGAACCATTGCTGCATCCCTTGTATAAACCCTACTTGGTCACGAGGTATAATCTTCTTGATGATTTGCTGCATTCTGTTTGTCTACATCTTGTTAAGGATTTTTGCATCTATGTAATTAGGGAGATTGGCCTGTAGTTTTCTTTTTGTTTTGGTTGTGTTCTCTGGTTTTGGATTCAGGATAATACTTTCTTTCAGGGATGATTTTGGAAGTACTGCTTCCCTCTCAATTTCTTTAAAGAGTTTTGGTATTAGTGGCGTTAGTTCTTCCTGTTTCTTGTAAAATTCAACAGTGAATCAGTCAGGGCTTGGGCTTTTCTTTGTTAGTAAATTATTACTTATATTTTCAATTTCATTGGCTGATATTGGGTTATTTAGAATTTTTATGTCATGGTTTAATTTTGGCAATTTGATTGAGTCTTTACTTCATCCTATAGCTGTTGGATTGATTTTTTTGTGGTCTCTTGCAATTTTTAAGATATCTTTGCTTTCCTGATTTCTAGTCACATTCTGGATGTGATATTTGATCTTTGCTTCCATTAAATCTGCTGCATATACTTTCAGTGGAGTTTCTAATCTGCATTTTTGTTTGGCTCTGTTTCCTTGATGTCATTTGTTGTCTGTGTGGCATGCATGATTTCCATGGTTTTCCTGAGCTCCTCTATTTGTTTATCTGTGTCTGCTTTAATGTTTTTTTTATTTTGATAGTCATATCTTTTTGCACCTTAGAGATTATTTTTTCTTTTTAAAATTTATTTTAAAGACAGTAGTAAAAAAAAAAAACCAATAGCAACATACCAACATCACAGACATAAACAAAACAAAGCAAGACCATTAAAAGTGACACAAGGTTTCAAAACAAAATGATAGGAATTAACAGTGGCTGTTATATTGCATATTGTTATCTTCAACTACATTGCTCAGATTACCAGATGTAAGAATGGAAGATTGTTCAAACCATTAAAGAGAATAAAGAATAATTATTAAATAAAATATTGGAGATAATACAGAGTTTCACTAGACAAGATGGTAGG